TATATAAATAAGATAGACCGGTCCATTAACCAGATATACAGTATATAGAGAGAGTTTGGCCAGGTTTTAGAACGGCCGCCATGTTACCACCCATACAGAACTTTATTCTTGAAATGTTGGTGATGTAACAATACAATCCATCCTCCGTTTTCTCCTATCACAGCCATTAAATAAGTCCATGCAACTTATTATGTGACTTGTTTTTACATTTTTACTCCTGAACTTATTTAGGTTTGCCATAACAAAGGGGTTGAATACTTATTGACTCAAGACATTTCAGCTTTTCATTTTGTATTAATTAGTAAAAATCTCAAAAAACATTATTCCACTTTGACATTATGGGGTATTGTGTGTAGGCCAGTGACAAAAAAAATCTAAATTTAATCCATTTTCAGGTTGTAACACAACAAAATGTGGAAAAAGTCAAGGGGTGTGAATACTTTCTGAAGGCACTGTGTAGTCGGGCGGATGCGGATGTATTATTAGCAATTGCGGGCAGGTGCAGGTGAACAAACCCGCTGAACCACGCACCACTAGCACAGGGAGGGGGAGGACAGACAGACCAGGAGCTAATGGATTCTAATGAAGGAAGTTATTTCTGATTTCGGGTTCGGACAGGGCCTTAAATTTAGCAGAAGCAATCGGGCCTGAACATCACAGGCATGTGTAAGGCTCTATTATTTACTCTCCCTCTCTTCTCTCACCGTCATGGAATTGGTCCTGCTGCTCCAGAAGCATGTCAATCTCTTTGCCAGTGGCTTCAGGAAGCTCAGCTCCTTCAAACTGACGGCGAGAAGGGCAGAGGGAGACCGAGAGAGAGTTCAACTTCAGGAACGATTGAGAGCTCAGGAAAGATCCTTTCGGATCCAAATTCCTTGTTGCGTTCACATGGTTAGATGTCTCTTAATAGGCAAAGTGAGTAACATTCTCAGTCTGATCCTAAATGACTGAGGTTTATAAATATACATAATAGCCTTTCTATGTGCTTTTATCAGTATATTACAACACTATATTCAGGTCACCTCAGCAGCAGCGATGACAAGCTGCTCCTTCTCTTTCAGGGTAATGGCATCAGGAGGGGAATTGAAACCTGAGAGAAAGCAACAGAGACAGAGAAAGAGAGAGGGCAAACATTAGTAATGCAGATTTGTTGCTGAGGATTTTCCATCCCAAATCAGACGTCACTCAGTCTCACCTCCGTCCTCTGATGCAGTTCCAGGACTGGTCCCTAGAGGGCGCTCTGGAGTCATGCTCTCCATCAGCTGCCATGGCTGGGAATGAACGAGACACACAGAGAGAGTGTTGTTAGAATGGTGTTCAATCAATAAATGCATTATCAACTCACAAGGGGACTCAATGAGGGTAAAGTTAAATTTGTGTCTTAAAGGCTTTTTGTGTGCTATTTTTACATAGGAATTAACTGTGGCTGTATCGGGGTTAGCTATGTCTGTAATTGAAGTTAGCTGTGGTTGTATGGGGGTTTCACATTTTTCTAGTGGCATACCGTTGAAAATGAGTTAACGAGGTAAAAATTGTGTAGAAATTATTGTATACCAGAGGGATCCTATATGGACTAGGCAGCAGGTGCTCAAAGCCCATCACCCCAAAGAAGGGGTCCTGTGCCCCCTCTGCCTTCTCCAGCAGGAACAGGGAGTCTGGGACATTTAGGGCTTGTCTGGGGAGGGAAAGGTGCTAATGTTATTACTACAACATGGCTACAAAATGGCTGTCATGCATCACACAGGCGACACTTTGGTGGTGAACGCCATTCAATGTACACAATGTACAGTACCTTTTGACCTAATGAAAAACAGTACATAAGTCCAATCCATTATCATTGTCAATATACACTGAGTGTACAAAACATTAGGAACACCTGCTATTTCCATGACATAGACTGACCGGGTGAATCCAGCTGAAAGCTATGATCCCTTATTGATGTCACTTGTTAAATCCACTTAAATCTTTTGTCATGCCCATTCACCCTCTGAATGACACAAATACTTAATCCATGTCTCAATTGTCTCAAGGCTTAAAAATCATTCTTTAACGTGTCTCCTCCCCTTCATCTACACTGATTGAAGTGCCTTTGAACAGGGTATGGTAGTAGGTGCCAGGCGCACCGGTGTGTCAAAAACTGCAACGCTACTGAGTTTTTCACACTCAACAGTTTCCCGTATGTATCAAGAATGATCCACCACCCAAAAGACATCCAGCCAACTAGACACAACTGTGGGAAGCATTGGAGTCAACATGGGCCAGCATCCCTGTGGAATGCTTTCGACACCTTGTAGTGTCCATGCCCCGACGAATTGAGGCTGTTCTGAGGACAAAAGGGGGTGCAACTCAATATTAGGAAGGTGTTCTTAATGTTTTGTACACTCAGTGTATGTGTGACAGTTATATCTTACGACTCAAGGGGACATGTGTGTATGGGACACACGGGTAACGGTGTGTGTGTTTTTTCACCTGTCAGGCTCGGCCATGTCAATGCGTGAGTGTCTCTCGGAGCGCACCAGGCGCTCCATGGTCTGCTGGATCTCCTCTGGAAGAGAGGAGAAAAAGTTTGCGGTGAGGTCATTTAACAGACACTCTTATCCAGAAGCAATTAGGGTTAAGTGCCTTGCTCAAGGGCACATCAACAGCTTTTTCACCTAGTCGGCTCGGGGATTCGAACCAGCAACCTTTCGGTTATTGGTCCAACGCTCTTAACTGCTAGGCTACCTGCCATGGCTATGGCATACATACATATATGTCTTCCTGACTGGACAGCTGTGGTTCTGAACACGTGGTTCTGTACAAGCGTGTGACCCTGAACATGATATGATCCTGGATCTGTGTATCTATTAGCATGATTTATGTCTGGCTGCTTAGGAGGCTATATCAGACTATCGAGTTGCCTGTTATGATAAGTGAGTATATCTGAGCGTAATCATTCATATCGACCTCTAGCAACAATGTGGTTGTATACTTTATTGTCTCAGGTCGTATCAATGAGCGTGTATGGATGGAGAGTAACTGTTAGGCTGCATTTCAGTTCAATCAGTGTCCTTGGTCCTGTAGCTTGCCTTGCCATTAGACCTGACATAGTGTCTCTGATTACCGGCCTGTATCGACAAGCATCTCTTTACATGGCGTTAATCTGTATGCCCTTCATTTGAACCTTTTCCCTCTCTCTCCCCTTCTCTCTCACCCAGAAGGAAACCACACTGGCGGTGGTAGACGATGACCACCCCATACTGCAGCTGGGAGGACAGGTAGAGGGAGAAGCGAGGCCGAGGGAGACCAGGGCAGAGCGGAGCCACCTGGACCGTCACGTAATCCATGATGTCCTCACTGCAAATACACCACCATAGCTACATGATTGATATCAGATCACTATCACATTCACAACTGATGTGTATGGCCATGGCACAACATAGGGACATGTTTCATCAGGACAGAACTTAGTCAGGGAGTGGCTGCCCCAGTATCTGTGCTTTAGAGATGTTGACATGTCTCCTCTCGTGTCTGCGGACGTAACGGGAGTAAATGAAGATAGTTGCTCAGCGAAACACCATATTTGGTGAGTAACAAATGTATTTTTACATTATAATGCTTGCAGCGCTGTCTAAATTTGAATCTGAGCTTCATGGGTGTTAGAGAGGTCCTCTGTAGCTCAGCTGGTAGAGCACGGTGCTTGTAACGGGACCACCTATACACAAAAATGTATGGGACCACCCATACACAAAAATGTATGCACGCATGACTGTAAGTCACTTTGGATAAAAGCGTCTGCTAAATGGCATATTATTATTATAGAGAGGAGACACTTCATACTCATAGTTGACATCTCTAATACAGAGATACTGGGGCAGGGACCATGGGTTGATCACTTGACATAATATTTTCCCTCAGACATAGAAAGGGAGAAGGATTATGGTTACCATGTCCGCCCAACGTTGACCCTCAGAAGCTCTCTGCGTGTTATCCTGATCCCTTTGGTGGCTGCCAACCTAAAACACAGAAACAAAACAGCATGACAATAACCAGAAACAGAAAGGTCTCTGATGATGATGGCATACTCACATTACATTGACCGAGATTCACAAGCTACAAAATATTAAACTCAGCCAAAGAGGATGCTAGCCTAGCTAACATTAGCTAGCTAATGTTAGAGAGCCACAACTCACCAAATGGTGGAAAAGCAGCCAGTGTGCCTCTGAAGAACATTTGGATAGTAAAACATCTTCCCTCAATTCATGCAGAAATATTGTTTCGCAATTTGGTGTCTAGAACCTGTGTGTAGAATGTAAAAAGATCAGATTGATCTTGATTAGATCAATAAAGGGTTGATGTTAGCTGCTAGCTAGCTAACGTTACAGGCAGATTCTCCTCAGAGAGCAGCGTTATCGAAATTCGCGCCAAATTTAGCTATATGATGACGTTTATGTTTTGACCAATCATGGATTGTGCAGTAGTCCAAAATAAAAGATAAACAGCAGAGCCATTTATATAGAAAATAAATACATGGCTCTGGTAAACATCTCAGTCGGTAACTTAGATACTATAGTAGCGGTAGAGTGTAGGCTGAAAAGCCTTATGTTTTAGTTCTAGCTAAGTGAAAATCATATTATGTTGGAAATCATTTCAATCTCAAACGTTTAATTAGGTCGCTACTTTTGATTACTTTTGATACTGCTGTTAGGGAGATTTCTCAAAGTTTAAAATAGCATGCAGTATGACTTTTTGTGGGTCTCCAGCAATAACGTAATTTAGAACTTCACACAACAAGAATGCATTGGTAAATCACTGGGCCGGGCAGAAGACCATTCAAAACGTGTGGAAGTGGGAAACAGACTTTTCACGCCACTTCGATACCGAAGTGACTTTTTACTACTCTCCTAACCTGCTACGAAAATCACCTTGTATCGAAGTGGCGTGAAAAGAGTGTGTGAGTCACCCCAAGGAGGTAGCCCTATGACGTTTCCACATTTTCTTCCGGGGAAGTGGTGAGTTAGATGCCACTCCTCTGCGTGAAGAATGTCAGTGTCAGATTGAAACGAGTACAGGGTACACTTCTTATTTTCATAGCACAAATTATAAAGCTTTTAAAATGGCATATCATACAGGTAGTCCGTATAGAGGCCAACCTCAACAACAACAATTCAACAGCGCAGCGCCGGCGCCGGATCAAGGTTTTCTTTGGAATATATTTCAGAGGTGAGTGGAAAGACGTCTTTCGTGGCTATCGAAATAACGGTACTCCGCATCGATTTGAGCTTCATTTTGAAAACTGCTGCCACAGCGCATAATAGGCAGGGATAATAATAGTATAGCAGTTTATGTTTATGTATGCATAAAAAGTTATTTTTTTCATAGTATTATAACCGTGGTTCGATGATTACATTTATTTGACAGACTGATTTTAATTTCTTAAAGAAAAACATAAAACATATCAGGATTTATTTTGCCTGTCAGTTTTGGCAACAACAACAAAAATGTTTTCCTATTTTACTCTTGCATATGACATTTTCCTACCACACACATACAAGGCCTTGTTGTTCAATTGTATTATATACAGTTAAACCAGTACAGGGAGTAGATTTGATCAATGTCAGTCATCTAGCTAATTAAAATAATCTAATAATTTACTGTCTATCTGTTTCTGTTGTGTTGGTCTGTTATTCTATGAAATTAGCTTTGAATACACTTTATTTTATAGGGACTGACAAGAGAGCAGACATGACAACTTACATAAACTTACAACTGACAATAGCTGGCAAAACGTTGTAGAAGAAGAGGGAAATTCCTCTTTCCCCTGGCGGTGATATTGACAAAGATGGTGGATAAATGAAGATGTCCCACTCATTACAGTTTCTGAAAAAATGGTCACTGTTCTGTTCCGGTCTGTTTAATGGGTGGCTCTCCCATAGTCACCAATGCGATAACAGCTGGGTCTGGTCTGCTTAGTTCATTGACTGTATATGAACCAGAAGAAAGGAGTGAGTGAGATGTCTCGCTTAATTTTAGTCCCTGGTATTGAGTTATGTAATACTGCAGAGGATCCATGGTACTCTGCTTTCTCCCAACATTAAAATTCTGCAGGCACAAGCAACACCTTGTTGAATAATTTATAATGAGGCAAAACCTAGAAAACTTGGTCTTATCTGTCTATCTGTATTCCACCCACCCACACACTACACACTTCAGATGTGTCCCTAGCCTGAGCTGAAGCAACACACTGGGGCTGGGACTCCCTGGGTCATATGACTTGAGTGGTCAAAGTGTAAATCCATTAGTCATCAGCAACCTGGTGCTTTTCTTAGCATTTTGTTAGGCTTGAGTCATAGAATTCTCCTTTTCCACTCCACCTATATGATCGTTAGATTCCATGACATGATCCCATGACAAACAAGTAGACACTAGACCTAAACGACTCACTAGTCCATGGTCATGTGGCATTACACTGGCATGTCAAATGTAGGCCACAAAGGCTGCGTTTACACAGCAACCCAATTCTGATCTTTTGACCAATCACATCAGACCTTTTCACATCAGATATTTTTCAGAGCTTATCTGATTGGTCAAAAGACCCATTAGTGAAAAAAGGATCAGAATTGGTCTCTTTGTGTAAATGCAGCCAAAGACATAGCCTAGAGTAGAATAGCAAAGGATCCGTCTAGGATCTAGGCCTAGATCAACATCTGATACGTGACAATACAAACAATTGCTTACACTGTCTACCGTCAGTGAGTAAACAAATGTTTAGGATAATTTCGTCTGAAAACCGGCCTCGTGTTCAGAAGACCTACCTCTACTTCCCCCCACCATGAGAGACAGCATGAGATAAGCTGCTAAATCATTTGAGTAGAAAACTAAGTTCTGCCAGGCATGTCATAACTTGAATAGCTCCATAGGAAAAACTGATACAGGCCGGGGAAATGTTACGATTCTAATGGCTGCTGTGCTGCTTGTAGTATTAATGTGTACAGCTAATTTATAGGATTTGTTCTGAGCACCATTCAGCAAATGGGACGATGGTTCTGCTTCAGGCCAGGGAAACGACTTTTAATGATACCCTTTCAATTCACCTCATTTTATGTAAAACCCAGTGAGGTAAGTCAAACCAGAGGAGGGGAAACAAGTAAGTGAGATTGAGCAGTTGGACACACGCACACACAGCACAGACCCTACTCTAAAAGTGTTTGGTTAAGGTTAGGTAGGTACCCTATCTGATCAAGCACTCTTTACAACACTTTTTTCATTCTGGAGGAAGTCACAAAGCGTGCCTTCATGGAAAGTCAGGTTTTGTATTTCTATGTGGTTTCTCCCGTCTAGCTTTGCAAAGCCTGCAGTTGGTAGGTTGGTCTGGGTTGCTAAGGAACATGTGAGTCATTGGAGGATTGTGCTACATTTCACAGAGGAGGTTATTCCAGAACTGGAAGGCAAGGCCTCTAATTTGTGTTAATGTTCAACTCACAAAATGTCTCCCACGTCTAAACAGAACAACTGTACCATTCTAATACTATTAAATTGGAACACGATAAAAAAATTAGGCTAATTAGTTTGATGTTACACTTCTATAACAGATGGCCTAGCGCATAGCTTTATGCTGAAAGGCGATGGGTTCTGAGATTGTACAATGGAATGCAATAAGATATTTGTGTGTATTGTAAATTCAAAGCAAAAGCGTTAATTGCATCTCTGATATATTTTCCTTTGATGGAGAAAGTATCTGAAGCCTCCTTTTTTGGCATTGCGCTCAAAATATACAGTATTAGCTAGCCTGATCCCAGATCTGTTTGTGCTCTACAGTACCCAACTCCAATGCTTGCTGTCATGCCAAACATCGTTGGCAAGACTGCACAAACAGATCTGGGACCATAATAGCGCTCTTGCCAACAATTAGGCTATTTAATCACAGACAGCAATAAGAGTTGGTGAAAGAGTAGCACTAGCCGACAGTGTCGTCGACCTGTCTTTATGCGGTTGGTTAGTTTTGGTTTCACTTTTCACTGATGTGATGTTGGGGGTGGTGGTGAGTGTAAAATGACACACCACCATCCCCACAAGTCATCGTCCTGTCCCCAGCCCAGCCCGCACACTCCCATTGCATGGAGTGTTGAGATCCTGACAAGGGGCTTACAGCGTAACGTGGGTAGGGTTTCAGCTGGGCTGTATTGTGTGTTGATACAGTCTGTCTGTCTGTATCTAATTGTGTGTTTCCTCCCCAGAGTGGACAAGGACAAGAGCTGCGTGATATCAGACACAGAGCTCCAGCAGGCCTTATCGAACGGTACGTCTCTTCCTTCTCCTCTAGACCTCAACACCTCCTCCTCTCATTTCAACACCTGGCGAGGGCCAGAGAGAAGCTTGCTGAGGAGAGTTGGTGGTCTGAACTTGAAATGGACACAAATGTTTTGTTTTTACCTCAAAATGGCCGAAAAACAGGTGGAAACGTCGTCTGGTGACACAGGAAAAGTACTTCCTGGAAATGGCTGACGACGGCTGCCACCTGATAATCAACCCAACACCCTCTTGTTGTTGAGGTATGACCGAGAGGAGTGGCTTAGCCAACGCCACGAGCACAACATGACATTAGTCTTTCCACTGGGCTGGATGACGAGATAAGCTCATGATTGAGTCAATGCTATCAGTAAACATCGTGTTTTGTACCTTAGGGCACTAGAGTACAGCACAGCAGACATTGAGATCATCTTTACAACAAACATGTATTCTGTGCCTCAACATTTTGAATTGGTCAAGGACTCTCTCTCTGCGGTTTTTGAAAGGGTTTGAATGGACATTCTTCTCTCAAACTGTTTTTCTACACTGTGAAAAGTGTTGAGGCCCAAGAGCGATGAAAGGAGCTGTTATCTGGCAGTAGCCCTGGTTCAGAATATTGATGACCCAGGCTGTGTGGAAGGAAGGAAGGCAGGCGCAGTGTTCACACAGTCAGTCCAGTCGTGCTCATTAGTAGGGCTGTGTCATGATTTGGCTGTGAGACTGTGTGTGACTGTGTCCAGGCTGCTGACTGAATGCAAGCTGTGCCCCCGTTCTCGGCCATGCACTTCACCGACCATGCCCACGGTGCTGTCACTGACACTACCACTCTGACACTCACCCAGGCCTCTCTGTTCCCTCCTTCCTTCCTTTTTTCTTCTTCTTGTAAACTGCTCTTTTCACCTCTCCATTCTCCTCTTCTCTTACCGATCCTGTCCTCCCCTCTTACCACTTCTCACCTCACCCCTTCCCTTGTTATCCCTCTCCTTCCCTCTCATCCCCTCAGGGAGACTGTGTAGTGTTAGCACTATAGGCCGCTATTCGTCCTCTCGGGGCTGACGTCCTCCCTGTGACAGGGCCTCTCCCTGATGAGAAACAGCTGGCCCCCTGTTGTACATCGCCAGTCTATCAATAAAGGGAATTTTTTCTAGGTGTTGGTGCCTTTTAGCTAGCTCTCCATATCAACGGTCCTCTTAGCTCCTGCTCTGCACCAAGCACCTGTCAAAATGTGCCTCTCCTCCCCGACTGAGATGAATGTGCTTAGATTATTTATTTATTTTCGGAGCCACCAGCCAAGTAGTTGCTGAAATCGGCAGCATTGCATTCACTGTGCTGAGTAGTTTGAATGGCAAGTCTACGTGCCAAGGGAATCTAGGCCCATCTACTAATGGGTAAAAACTCCCGCATTGACTCCTCCTGAATCGCCTCATGAACATTTTTCAAAAGGCAGAATAATAACACAAAACAATCATGTGTGGCTTTGACAGGAACGGGGCAGATTGTCTGGCATCTGTGGAGAAGAGGTTCCCTGCTCGGCACCCTGCCTGTACTGCATGTAAGACCGGGGTGAGGGTAGGGGAGCTGGGGGTGACTTTCTATCTCAAGGTTGAGCTCATCCTTGCACATGCTGTTTTAGCCCGCCTGGAGCAGTTAGTCGTAAATGAATGAGTGTGTGTTACTATGTGTGAATTCAAACCTGTGTGAGGCCCTTCGAGGTGTGTGTGTTATTATAGAGCGATCTCACTAAGCCTCTCTTGTGGGGCGCTGTTTTGCGGTCACCCTGTTTTTTCTTCCATGTCCCCCTCCCTGTTCCCCCAACCTCATCATGAGTCGGCACTGGGCAGCGCAGTGAGAAGGTCCAGTGTGTGTGCTGCACAGAGGGAACTTTGTCTCACAGGGCGGGCGGGGGCAGCCTCGACACGCACGCAAGCACACGCGCACACACACACTCCTGTGGTGCCGGTCTGGGGGCTTGACCAACAGACAGGGCGCCTCTCTCGGACATGGCCGGTCACTGTTGTTGACCTCACAGCTGCTGGAGAATGGGGAGTCTGGCTGGAGACCTGACCATTCCTCTCTGGTCTGGGTGTAGTCCAGACGCTTCATGTCTGTTCCCAGGCCCAGACCAAATCCCAGCCAGTCCCACCCAGCTGTAAAATTAGCCCAGGTCTGAATAAGGAGGCAGAGCGGCCTGAGTGGGAGACATCTCTCCGAGGCTTGGCTTGGCTTGTCGTTGCAGAGGAAAGGCTTAATGTGAAAAGTGGTTCACTTTACTGCACTGCAAAGCCTCCTTTATCTCTCGCTCTCTCGCTGTCTCTCCCCCCTCAGAGCAGTGAGAGTGAAAAGGTTGAGATGGTGAGTCAGCAAGGTTTAGGAAACCCTGATAAATCTCCAGCAGTTCTCCTCTGTTACCCAAAATACTGGCTTGGTAGTAAGCATACCCAAGATAAGAACAGAATGGTTGCTTAAGTCACCAAAGTCCTCCTAACTCTTTACTTGGCCTATTTCCCTCTTCTTGTTGTTGTTTTTGTTATAAATGGCCTAATTCAAGTCCAAAGGTATTAATTAACTTGGCACAGTCGTCCTGTGCAATTTAACTTTTTGTGGCAGAATGTCTTAGTTGTTGTTTTTCACCAATCTTTTCTCTATCTTCTCTCTGTAGGTACATGGACACCTTTCAACCCAGTGACTGTCCGATCAATCATATGTGAGTATTTGTCCCTCTTTGACCCTTGACACACAAACAAACTTGCACAATGACAAGCCTATATGGTCCTGACCTGGTGTACTACCATTGTTTATACGTTATCCCCATAGCAACCCTTTTCATTAGTTTGTGCACAGTGACACATTTCAACCCGGCTCCCCAGTTAAGTGGAAGCATGCAGCTATCGGTAAAAGGGGGAATAAGGAGCTTTTCTTTCTAACAAACAGGAGGTGTTTTTTTGGTCTCGAAAGGCATCTGTCTATAGCCATCCACTGACCGTATTGATTGGTTTACACACTTACCCTTTCACCAGCTGGAATCTGCTTTAGTCCAAGTGTAGCTGAAATGTGAATAGAAAAATATACTACGTTTTATATTTAGTGGTGTTATTTTGAATCTCAATAATCCACCATTGCTTCCCACTCTGACTGTACTGTACACAGTAAATCAGTTGTATTCAAATGGCCATCCAGCCGACCAGCCCTAAGCCTTCCATGTGATGAAGCCCTTTGTTAGGATGTAATTGGATTAAACCGTAGGGGAAAGTTCAAACGGGCAAGATTTCTTTAACTCTGTGTCATAACAGATGTTATGGTAGTCCTTAGTCCAGTGTGTTAATGTTATGCCTTCTAGCACTGAACTAGACTTCCCAGCTGTCCCTTCTTCGTAGGTGGTGTTTCTCAGGGGTCTATTCAGTGTGGTAAGATTTCAGAACGTTGTGGAGAGAAAGATTATGAATAAAGTTGACATGGTGCCCGATTCTATAAGACAGAAAAAACATACATATTCTACAAAATGCATTTCTATCTGAACATTGTTTTGTAACATTGCACCCTTCTGAACAGACCTCTTGCTCTCACTTATATCTTCTTTTGATTTCCCTATCTCACAGCCATGTTCGACAGGGAGAACAAAGGAGGGGTGAACTTCAACGAGTTCGCCGGAGTGTGGAAGTACATCACGGACTGGCAGAACATCTTCCGCACCTACGATAGAGACAACTCGGGCTTCATCGACAAGAACGAGCTTAAGCAGGCACTGACTGGATTCGGTGAGCATGCCTTCTCTATTTCACCATACTGGTGGCGGGCCAACCGCTATACCTGCTACGTTCATTTATTTGGTTCACAAGGTCAGCACCGATATTCTAATGTCCTTCTGTAAGATCGAGTAAGGTCAACATGCATGAGCCTGGATAAAGATATGTGCCAAAATAGTTGTGTAGATAGATATGCATGACGATATGAGTTGTTAGCCTAGCATACATTGAGGTCAAGCATGTTGTTATTTTCTATCCTCATTGAAATGTAGTAGTTCTTAGTCCTGTATGTGAAGTGAACAGGAGAAAGCCCTATGCATATTACAAATGGGGTAAGGGTTGTTGAACAGAGATGTGTTTCTGTGATGTTGACTGTTCTCTGTCCTCCTCCTCAGGGTATCGCCTCAGACCAGTTCTACAATACTCTCATAGAGAAGTTTGACAGGCAGAGGAAGGGACAAGTGGCCTTCGATGACTTCATCCAGTGTTGTATTGTTCTACAGGTAACCGTCTTACTGGGCTTCCTGTGCACATACCACTGGTTATGTAGCCTACATTGTTTTGTCAAGATATTGTGTGTACAGTATATACAGCCCATATTGAAATTGGACTTTGTGTTTGCTCAACATGGCATTTTTTCATTTATGCACATGGTATTTTAGACTGCAAATTAGAAATGTCTCGTCTTGGTTTTTCCTGGCCACGCTGTTGTCTGTATATTGATTAAGATATTTTGCTCTGGTTTCTCAGACACAGATTAAGCCTAGTCCTGGACTAAACTCTTTCAATGTAGAATCTCAATTGAGAATTATTTTTAGTCCTGGACTAGGCTTAATCTGTGTCTGGGAAAGCGGCCATTGATGTTTATTTACCAACATGGCATCTGTACTGGCTAGTATGTTTAAGTCAAGATCTACTGATGTCTAGATCTACTGTAATATACTGTATTATCTTAGATTTTTTAAATGTTCTTTGTCATTTCTCACTTTCAGAGGTTGACCGACGTGTTCAGGAGGTACGACACAGACCAAGACGGCTGGATCCAGGTGTCCTATGAACAGTATCTATCCATGGTTTTCAATGTTGTATAGTAGAGCCAAGAGCACAACTGGACACAACTGTGCCAAAGCCAAATCCTTCCCACCTCCACAACGTGTCTTCCTGGATCAAGATGACTGGGACTCTGGGATAGGATATAAAGACGTTATGTTCTGTCTGTCTGTCATTGTTCATAATGTTTGTTTAATGTCTGAATCTTATCTTAATAATGGTAAAGACCTGAATATCTGTGTTTAAGGTAAACCTGCATTGTACATATCATTTAGGACAAATAACCGCATGCTTCTGGGGGACTTCTGCCAATGTTCAAAGCATACACTCTTAATCTCAGATCTATTTTGCTGAAGCCATGTTTACAAATACTGTGAAAGCAGGTTATGGTCGGGCACAAAGCCTGCTTTTAGATTCACTGACATGCCAGCTAACGCCATATTTGTATAGACATATTTTTAACCAGCAAATCTATAAAAAAAAGTTAGCCTATTATTATTTTAGGTAGAAGAGTACGCTTTTGTATCGTTTATTTTTTGTGTGCATGATGCCTTAAACTGTATAAATGCAAGAGGAACCTCTTTTATTAAAAAAGAAACCTGAAAAAAGTTGTGAGCTCTGAATTGAATGTGTGGTGGACAAAGACCTAACAGTTTGCTGAAGACAGACACAATAGTATACATTGTTACTGTATACAATTATTGACTGAAGATGGATCGATAAAATTATCATGATTTGATGGTAACATAATCCTTTTCCGGGAAGAGGTAGATTTAGTCAGAGAGGAATAGGCCAAAGGAACTCTACTTCTAACTAACCCATATTCATATGTGCTTAAGCACTTTATTTTCTACAGAAAATTCACCTCTGTACAGCAATGTGCACTGCAGTGCAAGAAATGACTCAACTCTGCCCTCTCCTGTCTGCACTGGTGTATTACACCAGTGCATGCTCCAATCATGTGCAGAAGAACCTTACTTACAGTTTGCCTTGTTTCTGGGGGGGAACTTGCGAGGTGCTGCACATTATTAGGAAACATTGGAACGTTTGTTGATAGGTAGACCTCGAGACTGTTTTTATTTTACGTGGTTTTGTTTATAGATGTGCCTAAGGAACATTCACTTTGGAATTAGGGATACTTTTGTTCCTGTGAACTTCAGCAGTTTCTATTTTTGCTTGTCAAGCACAACTATGGGTCTCCGAGCGTGTCAGAGTACGACACGTGTTTTGTTCGCTAGAAATCTGAGCTGGCAAGCTGCTACTGCCGTAGACCGGTTACTTGGAAAAAAGTATTCTGATAAAAATAGCCCTTACAGTACTTCAGCCGGAAAGGAATCGGAGAAAGGTAGCTATGTTGAAGAACACAGCGGTGTCATATGCAATGGCTTATCTCTGGCAGCCGAGGGCAGCAAATACTTGCTTTCAGACCAGACTGGACATGGGGCAGAGTGGAATGTGGATTCAATGGATTGACTGAGGCGCCTAGTATATTTAAATAATATTTGAGAAATCTATTTCTCAAAACAGGCGCCATTATGTATCACTTTGTTACAAAACATGCATTTTGGATATGTGGATATAATTTGTGTGGAGTTCTGCACACTCAATTTACTGACCTTGACTTCCAACTCCCTTTAAATTGGAATATGAAATTGAAGTCAATATTGAATAAAGATAAGTTACACTATTTTATATACTATATTGTATTATATGGAAATGTGTTTTAGCTCTCAAACGGTTTACTTTGTATGATTGTAGAATGGGCTGGAGTGATGTTGGATCTCATCTCTTGTTGAAGTTCTTTTGGATGCAACTGCCTTGATATCGGTCCATTTTTCTTACCGTAAATGTGTAAAGTCAACTGTACGCGCTCTCTGCCACATAGCTTCATCCTCAGCCATGATCTATTCCAGTCCCAGTTTTGGGGCCATTTCTTTCTAAGTGTTGCGGTCTCACTTCTCTTCTCTCCCATTGTTGTGCAGTCGCCGGGCGGACTGTGGTGACGGAGAGGAGGGGGTCAGTGGTCACCGTGGCGATCAACCGCCCCGAGGTGCGGAACGCGGTGAACCAGGAGACGGCTGGACGGCTGCTGGACGAGCTCACGGCCTTCGACAGTGACCCCGCCCTGACTGTAGCAGTGCTCCATGGCAACGGTTAGACACCCTGCACACTACAGACAGGAGCTCAGCAAAGCCTCTGATGGAGGGTCAGCAGTAGCCTGGTCCCAGATCTGTTTGTGCTTTTGTCTACGCTATTGTCAAGTCAAACATGTTTTGCATGATAATTCCATAAAGAGTTGGCAAGAGAGCAGAAACTGACTGGCATCTAGGCTAGGTCAGCATGGTTAGTGTAGCAGTCATGAGTTGGGTACACGGTTGCTCATAGTCACATGATGAGGTAGCCCGCCTGCGACTTCAAAATCTGTCAGCTCTTGGCCCAAGAGGGAATTTCTTCTTGGGCTAATAGTTAAGACGTTGGTTTCTCCTGCAGTAGATCTCGGTTCAGATCCCGCACATGACATTAGCACATAGAGACACTCAAAGACGGTCTCTACACTCAAAGACGGTCTCTATGACAACACCTGAGACATGGCGATGATGATGATGTATTAAAGTAGTAGGCTAGATTCAGCCACAGGCCGATTTTGGTCGTAGCGGATGGTCGGGGGCCGGAGCATAAGTATAATAATTTGTACACTGCAAGTTGACCACAACTAAACCCAAAAATATATTATTTTTTAAATACAATCATTTCATACATTGATTACATTGAGACATGATCACATACAGTGCCTTCAGAAAGTATTCACACCCTTTGATTTCCCCCCACATTTTGTTGTGTTACAGCCTGAATTTAAAATTGATTACATTTAGATTTTGTGATACTGGCCTACACACAATACCCCATAATGTCAAAATGGGATAATGTTTTAACCCCCCCAAATTTTTATATTAATTAAAAATGAAAAGCTGAAATGTCAATAAGTATTCAGCCCCTTTGTTATGGCAAGCCTAAATAAGTTAATTAGTAAATATTTTCTTAACAAGTCACATAATAAGTTGCATGGACTCACTCTGTGTGCAATAATAGTGTTTAACATGATTTTTGAATGACTACCTCATCTCTGAACCCCACACAACAATTATCTGTAAGGTCCCTCAGTCGAGCAGTGAATTTCGAACACAGTTTCAACCACAAAGACCAAGGAGGTTTTCCAATGCCTCGCAAAAAAGGGCACCTATTGGTAGATGAAGAAAAAAAAGAAAAAAAAAGCAGACATTGAATATCCCTTTGAGCATGGTGAAGTTATTAATTACACTTTGGATAGTGTATCAAAACACATGGTGGTGGCTGTCATCATGTTATGGGTATGCTTGTCATCGGCAAGGACTAGGGAGTTTTTTTTTGGATAAAAATAAATGGAATAGAGCTAAGCACAGGCAAAATCCTAGAGGAAAACCTGGTTCAGTCTTTCCAACAGACACTGGAGACAAATTCACCTTTCAGCAGGACAATAACCTAAAAGACGAGGCCAAATATGCACTGGACTTGCTTCCCCAGACAACAATCAATGTTCCTGAGTGGCCTAGTTAGTTTTGACTTAAATCTGCTTGAAAATCTATGGCAAGACTGGAAAATGGCTGTCTAGCAATGATCAACAACCAACTTGACAGAAATTTGAGAATTTAAATAAATAATGTGCAAATATTGTATAATCCAGGTGCGCAAAGCTCTTAGAGACTAATCCAGAAAGACTCACAGCTGTAATTGCTGCTAAAGGTGATTCTAACATGTATTGACTCAGTGGTGTGAATACTTATGTAAATTAGATTTCTGTATTTCATTTTCAATACATTTGCAAACCTTTCTAAAAACATTTTGTTTTTATTATGGGGTATTGTGTGTAAATTGTGTGAGATTAAAAAAAATATTTAATCAATTTTGAATTCAGGCCACAAATAAAATGTGGAATAAGTCAAGGGGTATGAATACTTTCTGAAGGCACCCTTTTTTAAATTTGTGGGAATACTTGGGAACAAAATTAAACTAATTTTAGCTGAATTCCTGGTGATTTTAGTGTTTTTTTGACCAAAAACTAATATTATTTTTTATAAAAAATCGCTTGCGGGCTGGTTTTGTCCTGTTGCGGACCCCTGATGTACAGTGGGGAAAAAAGTATTTAGTCAGCCACCAATTGTGCAAGTTCTCCCACTTAAAAAGATGAGAGAGGCCTGTAATTTTCATCATAGGTACACGTCAACTATGACAGACAAATTGAGAAAAAAAATTCCTGAAAATCACATTGTAGGATTTTATTTGCAAATTATGGTGGAAAATAAGTATTTGGTCACCTACAAACAAGCAAGATTTCTGGCTCTCACAGACCTGTAACTTCTTCTTTAAGAGGCTCCTCTGTCCTCCACTCGTTACCTGTATTAATGGCACCTGTTTGAACTTGTTATCAGTATAAAATACACCTTTCCACAACCTCAAACAGTCACACTCCAAACTCCACTATGGCCAAGACCAAAAAGCTGTCAAAGGACACCAGAAACAAAATTGTAGACCTGCACCAGGCTGGGAAGACTGAATCTGCAATAGGTAAGCAGCTTGGTTTGAAGAAATCAACTGTGGGAGCAATTATTAGGAAATGGAAGACATACAAGACCACTGATAATCTCCCTCGATCTGGGGCTCCACGCAAGATCTCACCCCGTGGGGTCAAAATGATCACAAGAACGGTGAGCAAAAATCCCAGAACCACACGGGGGGACCTAGTGAATGACCTGCAGAGAGCTGGGACCAAAGTAACAAAGCCTACCATCAGTAACACACTACGCCGCCAGGGACTCAAATCCTGCAGTGCCAGACGTGTCCCCCTGCTTAAGCCAGTACATGTCCAGGCCCGTCTGAAGTTTGCTAGAGTGCATTTGGATGATCCAGAAGAGGATTGGGAGAATGTCATATGGTCAGATGAAACCAAAATATAACTTTTTGGTAAAAACTCAACTCGTCGTGTTTGGAGGACAAAGAATGCTGAGTTGCATCCAAAGAACACCATACCTACTGTGAAGCATAGGGGTGGAAACATCATGCTTTGGGGCTGTTTTTCTGCAAAGGGACCAGGACGACTGATCCGTGTAAAGGAAAGAATGAATTGGGCCATGTATCGTGAGATTTTGAGTGAAAACCTCCTTCCATCAGCAAGGGCATTGAAGATGAAATGTGGCTGGGTCTTTCAGCATGACAATGATCCCAAACACACCGCCCGGGTAACGAAGGAGTGGCTTCGTAAGAAGCATTTCAAGGTCCTGGAGTGGCCTAGCCAGTCTCCAGATCTCAACCCCATAGAAAATCTTTGGAGGGAGTTGAAAGTCCGTGTTGCCCAGCGACAGCCCCAAAACATCACTGCTCTAGAGGAGATCTGCATGGAGGAATGGGTGTGAAAACCTTGTGAAGACTTACAGAAAACGTTTGACCTGTGTCATTGCCAGTGGCGGCTCCTGAAAAAATTCTCAGGAGGGGCAATTTTTCTGATGATTTAGGTGACCTACACACATTTAAAAAAAGATATGTCCAGCAACAACATGAAGACAGGGGCAGCATATAAGTCAATACCAGAAGCATTTATTGACTGATCTCAAAAGTGTTGGCTTACCAGGGTTGGTGGAGCCCTCAGTTTCATCTTTGCCTCGCAAAGCTAACTCAAACACTCCTCAAAACTTCACACACTGGATTAGCCGGCTGAGGATGTGGCGGTTCTTGCTAATGTCGTAGTAAATATATTTGTTATAGTGAATATGGAATATGATATGTTGAGTAAAATGTTGTGCTAAGATCTATTTAGGTCAGGAGCTGGTTATAAGTTCTGTTCCTATCCAATAACAATGGACAAAAGGGTCCTATCTTGTCAGCCTTGTCAGCAGGTGGCCAAGGACAACACCCACGCCATAGGCCTCTCAGTTCTTCCAACTCACGAGTTCTTGCTCTGAGGACACACACACACACAAACACACACACACACACATCATCACTGTTAAACACACACACACACACACACATCATCACTGTTAAACACACACACACACACACACACACACAAAAATCCCCTCTCTTAGGCTGAACATTTGAAGACAGAGAACCCGACTCAGAGCCAATGCAACAGTGACAGTAGCCTGGAGGTGACCTCGCCCAACTCATCAGGACCAATCAGAAGATCAGAACTACTAGATTGAACCTACTTCATTTATTGCATAAAATGTCTGCACACAATGTTTCGGGGCTCTCTTCAGATAATAATAATAATAATAATAATAATAATATGCCATTTAGCAGACGCTTTTATCCAAAGCGACTTACAGTCATGCGTGCATACATTTTTGTGTATGGGTGGTCCCGGGGATCGAACCCACTACCTTGGCGTTACAAGCACCATGCTCTACCAGCTGAGCTACAGAAAGTGGATACTCATGGATGCGCATTGCAATTGTAAAATGTCAACACAATTGGAGACACCACGTCATTTTTGGAGACATGTTATTGACAGTAAACTATTGTAGATGCGACTGCTAACTAAATAAAACATTTTAGCTGGCTAGCTAATCATCTTAGCTAAATGTGGGGCAAACAATTCAGTTATTTACCGTTAATTTGAGGGATTGGGGTGAAAGAAATCGAGTTACATAGTGATACTTTACGATATACTGTATTGACAATATCGCAATATTTTAGCGCTAGTTGGCTGTACCTGCACCAAAACACCATTATTGTTCCTTCATAGCTTGTTCTCAATCTTTTCACATTGGGAGCCAATTTGTTTTCAGCACTTTTATTTCCATGACTGATCAAAACTCGTTCTCATGGCTTTCTGATCCCTCTGCAACAGACATATGGTGCGCAATAAAATCACAGTATCGAATCGCAATACGTATAGAATCATGAGACTCGCAATGCTGATGCATATATCTTATCGTGAGGTTCCTGGCAATTCCCAGCCCAAGTTCATTTGCCACAACAAATCTCTTCGCTAGCAAACGCGATGTCTTCTCCAAAACGGCAATGTGTCTCCAGCAATGTTTACTTTTTTGACGTTCTATGGCATCTCCACTTTCCAAGCATATATGACCACATGTAATATTTTGGTAAGTGATGCAAATAGTGAACTATGTAGGGCCAGGATGTAAAATATATGTAGCTGCAGCAATTTCTCTTATCTGATATGGTAAGTAATGGGGCTTAATTTATAGCTCCCTAAGAGTTTGACGAACGGGTCCGTGAACGCGATTCCAGATATATTTACCTCTGAATAAACTGCCTTTATTACACCATATCCACCCTGTCCAAAGTCTCTACTTGGTCTCAGTTGGTTCTCCAGTAAACTTGTGATTATCAACACTAACCTCATCGTTGTGGCGGCGGACAGCTAGCCTGTATCCCTCGTCATCCAGTTGAGTGAGTGGCAATGTCTTTTTTCGTTCGTACCAATTTTTGGAAAATCCTCGGGTGTAGGACTTTCCGCCTTTAGTAGAAACCTGTTGAATTATTAAATTTGGTCTGGGAGGTCCTAATTGTTTCGTTGCCAATTTATCTTCATTTGTTCGCCGACAAAAAGGAACTTCTTTCAAACAATCCACTCTTTTCTCAGTTACGTTCATGGTTACGTAACGTATGACGAAAGCGCGTAAGTGCAAGCCCACAGACACCCATTGAGATTGTATTGAAGGCTCTGAAATTTGAAAAAAATAGATTTTACATGGGAGTCTATGACAGACTTCTGGGCGATTTTCAACCTGACTGAAATCGCCCCAAAAGGGGGGGGAGCCATTTGAAGCACGACTTTAGCCTGATTCGACATTTAGTGGCAGTGTGGCACTGTGGCAGATCAGACGTATAGATTACAACACTGATAACTACTGTTGCCGTGATATAATTGATTAGAAAAAAAATCCCTTCCTTTTCCCGTTTGGCAGTGCGTCGCCCATATCGCCCTATTGAACAGGCCGCCCCTGGTCATTGCCAACAAAGGGTATATAACAAAGTATTGAGAAACTTTTGTTATTGACCAAATACTTATTTTCCACCATAATTTGCAAATAAATTCATTAAAAATCCTACAATGTGATTTTCTGGAATTTATTTTCTCATTTTGTCTGTCATAGTTGACGTGTACGTATGATGAAAATTACAGGCCTCTCTCATCTTTTTAAGTGGGAGAACTTGCACAATTGGTGGCTGACTAAATACTTTTTTTCCCCACTATATTTTCTTTCCACAGCTCACTAACAGTTACACATACAAAACATGACACCCCACTCTCCCCCAGACATACAGGACAGTAGACAGCAAACTCGTAGGGATGCAATGACACCCATTTTATTGGATGGAAATAGTACCTTTTTTTGTCTTTGACAAAATAATGCTAATAAGTTCATTTACATTCAGGGTATTTTGATATTTACAGTGCCGTTGGCAAACATTTCTAAAAACATGTTTTCACTTTGTTATTATGGGGTATTGTGTGGATAAAACATTTTTTTATAATAATAAAAAAATCATCCATTTTGAATTCAGGCTGTAACACATCAAAATGTGGAATAAGTCAAGGGGTATGAACACTTTCTGAAGGCACTGTATATATCTTATTCCTCCAAAGCAAGGTGTTCATAATAATGCCTTAAGAACATGATTTCCTTTTAATTTTGGCAGAATATAATTATGTGGGCAGGCTCCCCATAACACACTATACACAGTCACCAATTATTTAGATATCCTTAATTACGCATGTAGAACCATGCAGCCCAATCAGCTGGGGCGAGAGATCAAACTCTCTTTAAAATCGTTTCGCCGGCTAACTGCAGGCGCTAGAAGCCCAGAGTGGGAGTCACATCCTTCACTCCTCCTCCTCATCCCCTAATTATCCCTGATTTAAAAGTGCCTGTATTAACATATGTATGCTCACAGCTTCCAGGGTCCTGCACTGTGTCAACCAGGGAGCGATAATTATACACACTTAATACCTCTCCAAATAATAATCTCACCCCATCCAAATGAACTCCCACAATGGAAATCATTTTTTCAACCTGGATCAACCCTCCTCCTCTCTTAGAGTGTAGCGTTGGCTGAGAGGCTTTATTTTAATGCTTCAACACCTCAAAGCTGTAACCCAGGGAAATGAAGGCTGCTAAATGCTGGTCGCTTCGGCGCTGAACTGAAAACAGTGTGGCGGTAATTGCCTTGTGTTATTTGGATTAACTTTGACCAGTGTAATGGACAACTCTGGCAAAGTGCACTTGGATTCCTGCGCTGCCCATTGTTGTTAATTGGAGTGCATGTCTCAATGTAAATCCAGTTTGTAGGTTCAAATGTAGCTCTGCGCTGGTAAGGTGGCTGACCTCAAAAAGTATTACTAATCCCTCTGCTTGTGGAGATGACAGCTAGACATGTCCAGTCTGGAAACTAACTTTGCAACCATAAGGAAGCTATTTGGTCCAAATTAGTCCAAAACATGATCATTTTCATCTCCATTTTGGGAGAATTGTTTCAGTACTTTTCACTAAATTATGAGTAATTACCTCTGTTATATATGTTTTGAATCTGTTGGCACATATTTAGAGTTTTTTGGAATCGTATTTCTATGTTTTTATAGTAAGGGGGATGGGGGAATCTGAAGGTTTGCTAACTGCTGAAATAGCTGCAAAGGTCACTGTTGTAGCACCTTTCAATGAGGCCATTTTATCCCCATTTTAGAGAACATACGATAAAGTGTAGTCGCATGCGGCCAAATCCAAACATGAGATATGGGCATGTTACTTCAACTTTCTCACAGGTTTTCCATTAATATCAATAATAAAATCCTTTAAAAGTTATTTTCCCAAAGAGACGTGTGCACTGCACAATTTGCATATTGGTTTTAGCTTGTTTCTCTGATTCAACCTTTAAACTCACCATAAAGTCACAATATGCTCTCATCAGTTTTAAAAACAGAAAATGGTATCATAATGTCTCCTGGTATAGTCCTTCTACAATATCTCTTCATACAGATTCAATCAAATCCAGGAAGCACTGGTACATAATTACACAGACACAGCCTTTTAAAGAACTCTCCTCCTCTGACCCACTGCTGCTGTAATCAAGCCAGTCTCAGTGGAGGGGTGTTGTAGCACATTTCTCATCCTCAGTCTCATTACAGTTAGAAACAGAGCGGCCACACCGTTTTACAGCCCTCCGCCTCAGCGCCTGTGACATAGTGTTTGTAGGCCTCCTGGGTAATGTTGTAATTACCACATGAATACAACGGAAGGGGCTTTGGTCAGGGTGCGTTATTCTACCATTAATGAGAGCATTGTGCAGTAAAGAGAGACTGAGCCCACGCAAGAGCAGAAAATAATTTGTGTGCCAGCCAGCCAGCCATATTTCCTCATGCATTTCTAAATTGCAGCCCTGCCTCTCCTCTTCAAGTTGTTGTGTTTTTTTTCTTCATCCTCGTCATTTTCCCTTCCTCTTCAGTTGCCAGCTGCCATACTTTGTAATTTTGTGGTCTCTTCCAGGAGGGAATTTCTGTGCTGGTTACGATCTGAAAGAGCTGGCCCATCACACTGCCTCCCTCAAATTGGAGCAAGATGTCACCAAAGGTCCTGCTCCTATGGTGCGCGCATCTGCAAAAACCTTCCCTGACTTTGCATCACCCTCACACGCGATCAGTGTGCACAGAACAGTCGATGACTGATAACACACAACCTAACTTTCAATGTATCTGTTTGTCATTATTGACCCCTCTGTATGTATATGTAAATGGATCAGTTGTGGTATGTCTTTCATACAGTGCCTTCAGAAAGTATTCTTACCCCTTCACTTATTCCACATTTTGTTGTGTTCCAGCCTGAATTCAAATTGGATTAAGTTGATGTTTTTCTCACCCATCTACACACAATACCCCATAATGACGTAGTGAAAACATGTTTTTAGACATTTGTGCAAATTTATTGAAAATGGAATACAGAAATATCACATTTACATACGTATTCACACCCCTGAGTAAATACTTTGTAGAAGCATCTTTGGCGGCGATTACAGCTTTGAGTCGTCTTGGGTATGTCTGTATCGGCTTTGCACATCTGGATTTGGGGATTTTCTCCCATTCTTCCTTGCAGATTTCTCAAGCTCTGTTAAATTAGATGGGGAGCAGCAGTGAACAGCAATCTTCAAGTCTTTCCACAGATTTTCAATGGGATTCAAGTCTGGGCCTTGCAATGACTTTCACATTCTTGTTCTGAAGCCATTCCAGATTTGCTTGGGGTCATTGTCCTGTTTGGAACTTACATTTTCAATGGGATTCAAGTCTGGGCCACGCAATGACTTTCACATTCTTGTTCTGAAGCCATTCCAGCTTTGCTTGGGGTCATTGTCCTGTTGGAACGTAAATCTTCGCCCCCCAGTCTAATGTCGTTTGCACTCTGAAGCAGGTTCTCATCAAGGATTTGCCTGTATTTGGCTCCATTCATTGTTCCCTCTATCCTTACCAGTCTCCCAGTTCCTGCCGCTGAAAAGCATCCCCATAGCATGATGCTGCCACCACCATGCTTCACGGTAGGGATGGTGTTAGACGGGTGATGAGCTGTACCTGGTTTTCTCCAGACAGTGCTTTGCATTCAGGCCAAAGAGTAAAATGTTTGTCTCATCAGACCACTTCATATTTTATGCTCTCAGTCTTTCACATGCCTTTTTACAAACTCCAGGCGTGCTGTAGAGACGGTTGTTCTTCTGGCAGGTTCTACCATCTCAGCCAAGGAACTCTGTAGCTCTGTCAGAGTGGTCAATGTGTTCTTGGTGACCTCCCTGATCAAGGTCCTTCTTGCCCAGTTGCTCAGTTTGGTCAGACGGCCAGCTCTAGGCAGAATCTGGGTAATTCCACATTTTTTTCCATTTCCAAATGATGGAGACCACTCTCCTCTTGGAAACTTTCAACACTCTAGAAATGGTTTTATACCCTTCCCCAGATACAGTTGAAGTCGGAAGTTTACATACACCTTAGCCAAATACATTTAAACTCAGTTTTTCTCAATTCCTGACATTTAATCCTAGAAAAAGTCCCTGTTTTAGGTCAGTTAGGATCACCACTCTATTTTAAGAATGTGAAATGTCAGAATAATAGTAGAGAGAATTATTTCTTTCGGCTTTTATTTCTTTCATCGCATTCCCAGTGGGTCAGAAATTTACATACACTCAATTAGTATTTGGTAACATTGCCTTTAAATTGTTTAACTTGGGTCAAACGTTTCGGGTAGCCTTCCACAAGCTTCCTACAATAAGTTGGGTGAATTTTGACACATTCCTCCTGACAGAGCTAGTGTAACTGAGTCAGGATTGTAGGCCTCCTTGCTTGCACACGCTTTTTCAGTTCTGCCCACACATTTTCTATAGGATTGAGGTCAGTGCTTTGTGATGGCCACTCCAATACCTTGACTTTGTTGTCCTTAAGCCATTTTGCCACAACTTTGGAAGTATGCTTGGGATCATTGTCCATTTGGAAGACCCATTTGCGACCAAGCTTTAACTTCCTGACTGATGTCTTGAGATGTTGCTTCAATATATCCACATAATTTTCCATCCTCATGATGCCATCTATTTTGTGAAGTGCACCAGTCCTTCCTGCAGAAAAGCACCCCAACAGCATGATGCTGCCACCCCTGTGCTTCACGGTTGGGATGGGGTTCTTCGGCTTGCAAGAACCCCCTTTTTCCTCCAAACATAACGATGGTCATTATGGCCAAACAGTTCTATTTTTGTTTCATCAGACCAGAGGACATTTCTCCAAAAAGTACGATCTTTGTCCCCATGTGCAGTTGCAAACCGTAGTCTGGCTTTTTTATGGCGGTTTTGGAGCAGTGGCTTCTTCCTTGCTGAGCGGCCTTTCAGGTTATGTCGATGTAGGATTCGTTTTACTGTGGATATAGATAATTGTGTACCTGTTTCCTCCAGCATCTTCACAAGGTCCTTTGCTGTTGTTCTGGGATTGATTTGCACTTTTCGCACCAAAGTACGTTCATCTCTAGGAGACAGAACGCGTCTCCTTCTTGAGCGGTATGACGGCTGCGTGGTCCCATGGTGTTTATACTTGCGTACTATTGTTTGTACAGATGAACGTGGTACCTTCAGGCGTTTGGAAATTGCTCCCAAGGATGAACCAGACTTGTGGAGGTCTACAATTTCTTTTCTGAGGTCTTGGCTGATTTCTTTTGATTTTCCCATGATGTCAAGCAAAGAGGCACTGCATTTGAAGGTAGGCCTTGAAATACATCCACAGGTACACCTCCAATTGACTCAAATTATGTCAATTAGCCTATCAGAAGCTTCTAAAGCCATGACATCATTTTCTGGAATTTTCCAAGCTGTTTAATGCACAGTCAACTTAGTGTATGTAAACTTCTGACCCACTGGAATTGTGATACAGTGAATTATAAGTGAAATAATCTGTCTGTAAACAATTGTTGGAAAAATTACTTGTGTTATGCACAAAGTAGATGTCCTAACCGACTTGCCAAAACTATAGTTCGTTAACAAGACATTTGTGGAGTGGTTGAAAAACAAGTTTTAATGACTCCAACCTAAGTGTATGTAAACTTCCGACTTCAACTGTATATGCCTCATCACAATTCTATCTCAGACAGTTCCTTGGACTTCATGGTATAGTTTCTGCTCTGACATGCACTGTCAACTGTGGGACCTTATATAGACAGGTGTGTTTCTTTCTAAATCATGTCCAAATAATTGAATTGGCCACAGGTGGACTCCAATCAACTTGTAGTGACATCCGTTTTGAATTTGGGCTGTAACACAACAAAATGTGGAATAAGTCAAAGGGTATGAATACTTTCTGAAGGCACTGTATATAATCCGTAATCTCTAATCTCTATTGCTAGTCTTTCAAGCTAATGTATTCTTGTAAAAGGCCAAGGTTCTTCCTTGTTGTGGGAGTATGTTTGTGCAGGAAGCCTAGTTGCAGCCTTGTTTAGGGAGTGTATTATTTTCATGCCTCGCTCAGGGTGTGTGTGTCATGTCGTGTCCTTCCCAGGGTCCCTCCCGACTGGTGTTGTCCAAGCCGTTGATAGCAGCGGTCAGTGGCTACGCGGTGGCCGGAGGGCTGGAGCTGGCTCTGTTGGCTGACCTGAGAGTGGTGGAGGAGAGCGCTGTCATGGGGGTGTTCTGTCGCAGATTTGGTATGTGTATCCCACCTACGAGATGACCCCTAGTCACCTCCCTGAGCCTGGTCCCCCCCCCACTATTACCAAGTGTGTGTGTGTGTGTGTGTGTGTAATTTTAATTGTGTGAGGTTGCAGCCCTTACCCCGCCAGTGGAAGTCAAAATCGTTACAAAGTGCCTGATTAATTTTCCTTTCAACAGCAATGTAGCATTTCAAGCCGTTATCACTTTAGCTTTCTCCTGTTTGGGTTTTGAATAACTCTGCGATAGCAGCAATGACCATGGCCTTTGAAAGCATTGCATGTACAGACACCACTGCTGTACATGCTGCACTCCCTGATAACCAGAAGGAGAGGAAATGAATGTAGCGTGTAGTAGCATCTCCCATCTCGACACCAGTCTGCCTCCGGGGTAAAAAATATGACCTCCGTGTTTATAAATAGGACCGGCCGTACTATAATTTACTGGCAGCGGGTAGATCCTGGGTCTCTTTCTCTAAACAGGGCTTATCATTTTGGCTCTGTAATTAAACAGAGCATCCTGGCAGTGCCCTCGCCTGTCTTGAGCCAGGGCCCGAGCCACCCTTCATACTGTCTTGTGGCAGGGGCATGGCCACCATGTCTTGTCTTCGTCACCTCCCATCATATATCATACTGACGCCGCTGAGTGCATGACATCAGGGGTACATCTCAATAGTCTTTATTGGCTTCCTCAATCCTCACATTGTCTCCTTCCCTTGATACGTACTGAATTGAACCGGTGAAAGGGGAATGACTAACCGCTCACTTCAGATCTCCTTAAGCAGCCCCGAGTGGAGCATATGTGCTCTGAGGATTGACACTGCTGGCGGCGGAGGCACATTTCCTCCCAGCTGCTTATGTTCAGCCACCCCACCATCTCGGTTATGCCTCATTCCACAAACCCCTGGGTTGTTTGTCAACACTTTTCCCAGTTGTTTCCCCAGCTTAGTTTGGCCACTGTGGCTCGTTCTATAATTGGATGTGAGTTTAGCACTGTAATTGTTATTTTGACCATACCCAGTTATCAGCTGTGGATGTTGTGTTCCTCCACTCTGTAGTTAGCCTGGCATGTATAGCAGTAAGGCTCTACTCATCAAAAGTAACGCTACTCCTCTGGAGTTTATTTTTAGATCTCTCTGGTAGGTTTGTTACATCGCTTTAGTTTGATGGGAGAATTCTGTAAGCGTTTTTGGTGGAGAAACACATGGGAACAGCAGCCCAAGGGAATCCCCTGTGGTTTGAATGAATAACCCAAATCTATGTGATGTGGCCCAATGGAAGACACAAGTGAGTGACGGCTTCCTGTCACATGACTCATCGAAGCCCCTGTCTCGTACGGAAAAACGAGGAAGGCCAAAAGGAGGGATCATAGGATAGCCCACATGTTTAGAGTACAGCCCGGTCCAAAGCTGACATCATGTTGGCCAATTCAAACAACTATCCAATGACTTGTTATTGATGACATGGGGATACCATTCCAAAATACTCTGCTAGGTGAAGCTGCATGGCTGAATACTCTCCCTCTAAGCAGTGAAAGGGCACAGGAGTGGACAGTTAGTCTAACCTCTACAGGGAGACCTTAGCAGAACCTGAAGTTCGAACCTCCTGGCTGTCCTTGGACCAATGTAGGATAACCTCTGGACCTTGGCTCCGAACGGTTCCGGCTGTGCTCAAAGACCCAATTAGTGAGATGGATGGGGTGGCGGGGAGAGACATAACTGCCAGAAATTGTGTGTGATACTGGACTGGAGCCTGCAGAGAGACTAGAAAGACCACACCCTGGCCTTAAGACTAGAGGATCTGGCTAGTGGCTAGAGAGGCACCTGCAGCACTGTGTGTCTCTGTGGTTTGCTGGATGTGAGTTAAACTCTAGTTCTCAGAATGTCCTGTGCTTTCTTCAGAGCCCATGGGGAGGCCTTCATCAAACAATGAACTCGCAGACACCAAAAAACGTCAAAATATTTCTTTGATGTGCTGAAAGAAAAGGGAATCCTGTGACAGTGTGTTAAGCCCAAAATATTTCTCCAAGTTGGAGTGTTTCAAAGTGAACCTCCGTTAAAGGTTCACGTTCTCATCTCTGTATCCGTTCCGTACGGATTTGGCTGGAAATCTTTAATCCGCATCGAACTTAATCACATTAACCCTCGTGAGAGTCCATTGTGGACAGCTTTGCTTTGAAGTGGTGCAGATGCCTGTATCTCCAGCACAGCTCAGTTCAAACTAAAAAACATCAGACGTCTGCCCAAACTGTTTCACAGAGCTCAGCACTTCACTGGTGTATTGGCAGTCTTACTGTACCTATAGATGTGGTGTTTGAACCAAGAGGAAGCAAATGAATGAGAGTGAGGCTAGGGCTGTTGTGGTGACTGTATTACCGCCACACCGGCAGTCATGAGTCACGTTAATCTCCTCTTATGCACTCTGGACATGCGTTGGTAGTACCCAACTTGCTAACAACCATCAGGTCCTAATGGCCTGGTAATCAGGGCTCTATTGTCCCTCTAACCACTCTGACATCAATGCAAATATCATCAAAACAGTATCGTGCATTTAAAACTCACCTCACTGTGATGATCAATTTGAAGAAAGAAGTTCAACAGCAGGTTGAAACTGAGTGTAAAACATGGTTGTTGTGTATGTTGTTTCAATAACACAACGAAATGGACAGCGCTTTCTAAGGTGATGATTCATTCAAAACATTCATACGCACATGAGCCCAAGCCCCCAAAAAAAGAATAAACAGTATGAATGTGCCATTATACAATACATAGCCTACCGCATATTACTCATGGCAAAAAAAACAAAAATAATTTGAGATGTTTTTGGTACATAATTGGTCTAGCCTATACTCCAAAATTAAACAAATTTGAGTAATTGCCTTTGAGTGTGGACTGTATTATTATTCATACTGGATGGACTGGTTACCTTATGCTACGCTCAAATTTATATCCATGAGTCTGGGAGAGAATGTATAGCCCTAGGCAATGCTGTTGGTTCATTGATTGTGCAGGGCGGCTTACAGAGTTAGCCTACAATTATAGTGAATTTGTATTTGATTTTGAATTGCCTAGTAATAGGGCTTTTTCCCCCCAGAATTAATTGGGTGACACATTACCTTTAGCTATACAGAATATCTCACCACCGTGCGTTTCCATCTCCTCCTCTCTCTCCTTTATTCCTTTCTAGAGCGTGCAGAGGGGCTGTCAACAGTTTAGTAAAATATGTTTTGTTTGCGAAATCAGGTTACTATTGATGTCTCCGAACAGATTTAAATTGGTTTCACGAATCAAGCCCTGGGTAGCTGCAGGGACAGGGTTGGAGAGCCCATGGCATACAGAGTTTGGGCGGAATATCACCTGTCGCGCAGCGAGCGCATGCTTCTCAAACATTGGTTGACGCGTGGCGTGAAATAAGTGTTCTTATATTTATTCATTAGCTGCTCATATTAAGCACATGCTCCACTATAAAACCGAAGTAGCCTACCAGGCATCATTGAAAAACGGACCGGCGGGAAAGCGTGCAGCCTCCATTCGCTATTCGAGTGTGCCATACGGATAACATGTCTTTTTCCCCCTGCCCCTGTTCCTGCCCATTTGATAATGGGCAATTCTAAATCGAAACTAATGTTACATATTAGTAAAGACAAGATTCAATTGAGAATAGTCTGATGGGTGAAAATATGATCACTTGATGAGAGAACAGCTGTGCAACATGAGGCAAGGAACAGACCACCAGCTTTTTTTTGCGACTTTCTCAAATCATCAATAGCCTAGTCGCATCATGCGGCCCATTATATGTTTTGATTTCTAAGACATTCTAAGGTTTGTATCATTCACAACTAAAGTTGCCAAATAACTTAATCTAGCAGGACCTGTTTCAAATTATCACTTTTTACGCTCAACATAGCCACTTCAAATATCCTTTCTATTTTATTCAGCTAAGTTCAATTATATTATTTTTACTATAAAATAAGTAAGGGATAATCATCAAGGGGCTATGCGTTCTATGGAAAATAATGAATGACGTGGAAAAGGCGTGTTCCACAACGTGCTAGCAGAGTGGAACTGACCTTCCACTGAGTTGCATTATTTTCCAGAGAACGCATAGAGCCCCGAGTTGATTATCCCTTTTATACCATGGCTATAATTTAACACATTTGCAGCTAGAAATGTGTTCATTTGCCGGTAGAAATGTGTTCAACAATCCACTGAAGTAGCTAGCAAGTTTACTAGATAGCTACAGTAGTTGTCGTGGTAACCAAACAAGCAGACTTGCTAGTTTAGCTAACCAAACCATCAGTCCTAGCTTGCCATTATGAAAATCGAATTCAACAATGCCAATAATGTTTTCAATTCGACTTTTGCTTTCAAAAGCAGCTCAAACATACAACATGTAAGAATGAACTATAGCCATTGAATTCTACCATGCAAATGTACCATGCGTTATAGGGAAATAATGCACGCTCTATAATGCCCTTCAAGCCAATCAGAAACAAGTATTCAACAATACCATGGTATAATATAAAATAATGGCACAGGACTTATAAGCATATATTGTCAGCTTAATAAACAAGCCTATGGCATGGCGCATAGCCAGATAACGTACAGTAGGCCAACTCATATTCTGTTCTTCTGAAATACATTTTCTTCATATCATAAAGTTTCTTTAGACCTTTAGACTAAAATAAATAATGGATTTATTGTGATGGTGTATATTAAATTGATTTATTAGACTTTTTTTAATGTAGATGTTCCAAAGGCGTGCATCAGTGGCTTGTATGCAGCTTGTATGCGTGGAGGTCTGGAGATGCTACACTTGTTTATGTTAATTAACTGTCAATTACCATGAGACCGGCAGTCTTTTGCATGACAATAACCGGCTGACAAAATGTAATGACCGCCACAGCCCTAAGTGAGGCCATTGTTGCGACCAGCATACATACACATTTTATGTAAATATGAATTGTTAACCATCATCTCCCCAGCATAGCAGCGTTTTAGAAAAAACCTACCCCTGCAATGCAGAGGATAATGCTGACAGTCAGGAAGAGAACCACCTCCTATATCTATTATTGGACAATAGGCTCTGCTGACACGCAAAAAACCCAGTTAAAACTGGTGTGACTCTTTAGACAATGGATTTATCTGCTTTGATTAGATGAGGAATTAAAGGATGTTCTGGTATATCCACAACATGGCCTTTCTCATTCTCAGATCTTCCCAATCAAACATCTAAAGTGTCCTTTTTATTTGTGACGATTTCAAGGGGACGTTGCCCAACACACTGGATTCCATGCATAGGGAACAAAGGATGGGCTGGTGTGTTAATGCAAACAGGACTAGTTTGAGACAGACCAGGAGAGTATCAGCAGGCTTTGAGGCGGGTGCTGGATAAGAGAGGACCCTTCCGACGGCTGATAGCACGGTGCCAACAGCACTAAAGACTATCTGGCCCAACTTGGCTCCTCTCTCGCCAATCTGGCCTGTTAGTTCTGGACATGGACTGAAGAGGCTCTCTGCACCACAATCTAATCTAGCCTCCGGCCCTGAGGGAAGCTAGGGGGTTGTGTGTGTGTGAGGGACATATCAGTATGTGGGGTGGATTGCTCAATCTGCCCATCCTGTTCGAGAACATTTTACAAATGGACTTAAAAAGTATGTAATGTGATTTTATTATTGTGATGCCTTTGTAAAAAATAAATTAAAAAATAATGGAATTTAAGTCAGATTTCATCAGCTTGTGCTATTGGCAGCACACTCTTTCATAGGAATTTTCAACAGAATCGACCTGACCGGTAGAGACAGGGAAAGATGTATTTGCTGACAAAGCGCTCCCTCCCTAAGAGCTGTCTTGTGTTAGTTGCCATATGTGCTGAGTTTCTGACCCTAGGCCTCTCGATTGGTTGCAGATGTATTAACACTGGTATTCAATGTATTCAAATGTGATTTATTTGAAGGACTCCGAGAATGTAGCGGGGAGTATGAATGAATAGAATTAGTGTTTCCACAACTCTTCCCTGGGGAACTCCCCCCGAAAACCCACAGAGATGATTTCAGGTTATGAAAATATGTTGGACTCATATGCTCTTAATAATGGGTGGTCAAGCAGAATCTATGACTGGGAGGAGTTGAGGAGGCAAGCTCCCTGTGCTTCAGAGGCCAGTAAAACTATACCTCCATCTGCCTTACGGCCACAAGGGCTTCCGCAAATAAGTGACTTTCAGAATTCTCAGCCTGGTGGATATGCTAGTGGAGATGGTCACTTTAATATAGCTACTCTGGATCATTAATTGGACTTGTTCTGTCATGTCTTGATTTCTTGTTTTGATTTTTGATTATTTGTGTATTTGTATTGTATTAGCGAGACATTCTATTGCACTGTTGGAGCTTGTAACATAAGCATTTTACTGCACCTGCTATAACACCTACAAATCTGTGTACACAACCAATAAACTTTGATTAGATTTTTATATGAATTATGATATTTTAGGAGCCACTCACTGTTGGTGGGAAAACACTAATTGGTAAGTCCTATAAGGCTCTACATTGGTGCAACCAGGAGTGTAGTGGAGGGTAAACGCAAGACAACACTGTTTACGCACCTTTTTAATTTTGCACGAGCATTGACCCACCTTTTGTGGAAAAATGCATCTAAAGTATAAGGAGCATTGCTTTACTCACCACGAACGGCGGTCAGCGTTTACTCCCCTATATTTTTACCACTACATCACTAGGTGGAACGTATGAGTGATAAACTCCCTCACAGTCTACCTACCCACTTATAAGCGTATGTGTATGTCTGTGTGCAACAGTAGGACTAGAATAGTCAACTACTCTGTAAACCCACTGTGTAAAGTCCTACAGCCCTCCTCAGTATGATGTCACTCATGGATGATTCCTTTGTCTCCTCAGGCGTCCCCCTGATTGATGGGGGCACAGTCCGGCTCCCCCGTCTCATTGGTCTCTCCCGGGCTCTGGACTTGATTCTGACTGGACGGCCCATTGGTGCACAGGAGGCCTTAGCCTTCGGATTGGCTAACAGAGTGGTACCGGATGGCCAAGGTAAGAAATATGCCCTCTCTTGAGGTTTTGTCTGTAATATTCCTCTCCTCACTCTGAACAATTTGGAAGTATTTTTTTAAAAGTGCATTTTGAAGTTTTCTTATCTGTTCCAATGTAATGGCTGTGGTAGATTAGACAAATTTATGTAAGCTATTTTATTCAGAGTTATCAGATTTGTATGCCATTTCATTGGTTGGAACAAACCTTACCAATAACTTAATTGAGCATCGATAGTTGAATTGGACAATGTGTAATTTCCAAAATGGCATTTTCTGTATGAATGTGTGAAAACTCAAACTCCTTCATCCCTACGAAAAGCCTTTCCATGTGCTCTCCTGGTTAAGATTCCTCAAAAGATATTCAAAGATTAAGTTAAGTCTTTTCGGAAGTCATTCCCATAGCCACAGCCAAGTCCGATTAATTGGACTCAGAGGCTGATCACTTTGGTTAGAGATAGCTCAAATAGAGAGGGGGCACTTGGGCATCACTCACATCAGCCCTTTGCTTCCATAGGAGATTTGGATGTGGTCCAGTGCTTTCATGTGGCCCAGGGAACAAAGTGGCTTGGCTCAAGCACAGAGAGGCAGGAAGTGCAGGAGGAAGGGAGTATGCACCAGCAGTAGCTATAACTGAATAGCTGCCAAGTGCCCTATGCTAATGTAATTATTGAAATAAACTATACAGATAGGGTATATATCCTGTGTGTCTCTGTGTGTGTTTGTGTATAACACTCGGCTGGCGGTGTGCATGAGTGTACGGCTGGCGGTGTGCATGAGTGTACGGCTGGCGGTGTGCATGAGTGTACGGCTGGCGGTGTGCATGAGTGTACGGCTGGCGGTGTGCATGAGTGTACGGCTGGCGGTGTGCATGAGTGTACGGCTGGCGGTGTGCATGAGTGTACGGCTGGCGGTGTGCATGAGTGTACGGCTGGCGGTGTGCATGACTGTACGGCTGGCGGTGTGCATGAGTGTACGGCTGGCGGTGTGCATGAGTGTACGGCTGGTGGTGTGCATGAGTGTATGGCAGGCGGTGTGTATGAGTGTACAAAATAAAATATGGAAATATCACATTTACATAAGTATTCAGACCTTACTCAGTCTTCTTGTATGACGCTACAAGCTTGGCACAGCTGTATTTGGGGAGTTTCTCACATTCTTCTCTGCAGATCCTCTCAAGCTCTGTCAGGTTGAATGGGGAACATCGCTGCACAGCTAATTTCAGGTCTCTCAAGAGATGTTCGATCGGGTTCAAGTCCGGGCTCTGGCTGGGCCATTCAAAGACATTCAGAGACTTGTCCCGAAGCCACTCCTGCGTTGTCTTGGCTGTGTGCTTAGGGTCGTTGTCCTGTTGGAAGGTGAACCTTTGCCCCAGTCTGAGGTCCTGAGCGCTCTGGAGCAGGTTTTCATCAAGGATCTCTGTACTTTTCTCTGTTCATCTTTCCCTCGATCCTGACTAGTCTCCCAGTCCCTGCCGCTGAAAAACATCCCCACAGCATGATGCTGCCACCACCATGCTTCACCGTAGGCATGGTGCCAGGTTTCCTCCAGAAGTGACGCTTGCCATTCAGGACAAAGAGTTCAATCTTGGTTTCATCAGACCAGAGAATCTTGTTTCTCATGGTCTGAGTCCTTTAGGTGCCTTTTGGCAAACTCCAAGCGGGCTGTCATGTACCTTTTACTGAGGAGTGGCTTCCGTCTGATTGGTGGAGTACTGAAGAGATGGTTGTCCTTCTGGAAGGTTCTCCCATCTCCACAGAGGAACCGGGCGGCTAGCTCTAGGAAGAACCTTGGTGGTTCCAAACTTCTTCCATTTAAGAATGATGGAGGCCACTGGGTTCTTGGGGACCTTCAATGCTGCAGAAATGTTTTGGTACCTTTCTCCAGATCTGTGCTTCGACACAATCTTGGCTCAGAGCTCTACGGACACAGGTGGACTCCAATCAAGCTGTAGAAACATCTCAAGGATGATCAATGGAAACAGGATGCACCTGAGCTAAATTTCGAGTCTCATAGCAAAGGGTCTGAATACTTATGTAAATAAGGTATTTCTGTTTTTTATTTTTAAAATATTTGCTAAAATTTCTAAAAACCTGTTTTCGCTTTGCCATTATGGGGTATTGTGTGTAGATTGATGAGAAAAACATTAATTTAATCAATTTTAGAATAAGGCTGTAACGTAACAAAATGTGGAAAAAGTCAAGGGGTCTGAATACTTTCCGAATGCACTGTATGTGCTTATGAGCCACCGCATGAATCTGTTTCTTCACGATGCTCACATACATATCTTGTGCGGGTGTTTTTGTGTGTGTGTGTGTGTCTCAGTTCTGCAGGCAGCCCTGGAGCTAGCTGAGCAGATCAGCACCTTCCCCCAGCAGTGCATGCGTGCAGACCGCTCCTCTGCCATCTACAGTGCCTACGACGCTCCCTCCTTCAGCCTGGCCATGCAGTACGAGATGGACCATGGAGCACCAATCATCCAGGCTGAGTCTGTCGCCGGGGCAACCAGGTTCAGCTCAGGGACAGGAAGAGGCGGGAAATTCTCCTCAAAGTGCTAGTAACACTTTATTTAGGTATGCTTATAAACATGACTACATAGTGTATGCCTATGTACACTACATTACCAAAAGTATGTGGACACCTGCTCGTTGAACATCTCATTCCAAAATCATGGCCATTAATATGGAGTTGGTCCCCCCTTTGCTGCTATAACAGCCTCCACTTTTCTGGGAAGGCTTTCCACTAGATGTTGGAACATTGCTGCGGGGACTTGCTTCCATTCAGCCACAAGCATTAGTGAGGTCGGGCACTGATGTTGGGTGATTAGGCCTGGCTCGCAGTTGGTGTTCCAATTCATCCCAAAGGTGTTTGATGGAGTTGAGGTCAGGGCTCTGTGCAGGCCAGTCAAATTCTTCCACACCGATCTCGACAAACCATTTCTGTATGGACCTCGCTTTGTGTACGGGTACATTGTCATGCTGAAACAGGAAAGGGCCTTTCCCAAACTGTTGCCACAAAGTAGGAAGGTCAGAATCGTCTAGAATGTCATTATATGCTGTAGCGTTAAGGTTTCCCTTCACTGGAACTAAGGGGCCTAGCCCTAACCATGAAAAACAGCCCCAGACCATTATTCCTCCTCCACCAAACTTTACAGTTGGCACTATACATTCGTGCAGGTAGCGTTCTCCTGGCATCCGCCAAACCCAGATTAGTCCGTCGGACTACCAGATGGTGAAGTGTGATTCATCACTCCAGAGAACGCGTTTCCACTGGTCCAGAGTCCAATGGCAGCGAGCTTTACCCCACTCCACCCGACGCTTTGCATTGCGCATGGTGATCTTAGGCTTTTGTGCGGCTGCTTGGCCATGGAAACCCATTTCATGAAGTACCCGACAAACAGTTGTGCTGATGTTGCTTCCAGAGGCAGTTTGGAACTCGGTAGTGAGTGTTGCAACCAAGGACAGACGATTTTTACGCGCTACGTGCTTCAGCACTCGGCAGTCCCGTTCTGTGAGCTTGTGTGGCCTACCACTTTGCGGCTGAGCCGTCGTTGCTCCTAGACGTTTCCACTTCACAATAACAGCACTTACAGTTGACCGGGGCAGCTCTAGCAGGGCAGAAATTTGATGTTCTGACTTGTTGGAAAGGTGGCATCCTATGACGGTGCCACGTTGATAGTCACTGAGCTCTTCAGTAAGGCCATTCTACTGCCAATGTTTGTCTATGGAGATTGCATGGCTGTGTGCTCGATTTTATACACCTGTCAGCAACGGGTGTGGCTATAATAGCCGAATCCACTAATTTGAAGGGGTGTCCACATACTTTTGTATATATAGTGTATATGTACGTAGTATTTTCTTCATGATTTATAAATTATACCAGGTCCACTAAATGGTTTATAGATGGTAAACACGTATACATGGTTTACTAATGGTTAGAAAAAACTCATTCATAATGGTTTATTAGCAGACTGTCCACCTTTCTCCCACCATTTTGCATCACACAGTGTAATACTGGTGTGTCAGATATAAATGGCATTTTCCGTTAACAAAGTGCAACCTCCCTGGAGCAAATGATAAAGTCATACAAACAATGACAGAACTTCACCAGCTGCTTATCTGTACAGTCTATTTCATAATGATCCCCCACATACCAAAGGTTCTTTAAAGTTAAGTCACTGCGCTCAACAATTGTGGTTGGTATACAACCCTCATATCTAGAGGAATTAGAGGGAGGGCTAGTAGGGATATGGAGGTTGATCGAAAGAAACAAAACCTTTGAAAAGACAAAGACTAAAAAGCAGCAAGGGCATCAAAAGCACGAGCACTATACTGGCATTGTTTCTGGTTGGAGTTGTACTATGGTCGTGTGATGTGTGGGGTCTTGGGTCTACCACCAGACTATACTGTAGTAAGATGGTGGTGTGGATATTTTTGTGTGGAAATGCCATGTTTAGAGGAATAATTACTGTGGGAAGAATGACTGTGAGTGTGTTTATGCCTGTGTGTATGTGTGTGTGCCCACATGTTTATGTCTGTATAATTAGTGTGGAAGATTTAGCAGTCCAAGTGAACTTGGTGTTATGAGTGAACATTCCTCTGGTGGACGGCTCCCCCTCAATTATCTGTGTGGGTGCTTGTGCATACGCACATGCATGTGTGTGAGAGATGATTCAGCTTGGAAGCAGAGAAAGTAGTACCCTAAGGCAGTAGTGTGTGTGTGTGTGTGTCAATACTGTATGGTTGTCTGTATACTGTCCGTTAGTATAAGTGAACAGTTATATCCACAGGTTGCAATGAGACTAGCCTGTGTGTGTATGAGAGACTCCAATCTCTCTCCTCAGGTTGTGAGTGTGACCCATCGTGTGTGTGTGTGTGTGTGTTAATTAGGGTGAGGAGAGGCTCTGTCTAGACGCCATGATGACAGGACACACAGCCCCTGTTTAGCCTGCGTGCCCTCCCTCTGCTTCCTTCTGCCTCCTCACCCACGGCCAATACACTCAGCTATCACCTGCTCCTCACACACACACACATTCTTATTTCCTATTCAATTTCTATACCCCTCGAAGTGGATGTTTGAGGTTGAATATTCGTCAATAGCCAGACACTAATCGTGGCATGTATTTACAATGATGTATTTTACTTGCCTGTAAGAGTGGCATGCCTAAATTAGACATGATCATGTGTAAATAAAGCTAATATTAAGATAATCAACTGTTGGTCCAATATAGTATATTTTTTGTGTCATCCTCCGTTTTACTGAATTGCTAGCAAAGAATGCATAGTTCTTTCTTTATTGACAAATGGTTCAAAGGTTCTGTATTGAATTTTATACATTATTTTTAATTCTTACTTTTCCAAAAGGTCATTCTACAAGGCTGCAAACAGACGAGTTCAATCAGATGAGTTTAAAGAGAGTGATGGAGTGAACTCTACGACCTAAAACAGAGAGCAGGTAGCCTTTAATATAACAGCCAGACTTATTTTACTTTTCCCCACTGTGCTGTCTCTGTCTCATCTCTTCCCCCCAGTCCTGTAGGCAGTCGTGGGGAGTCTCCTTCCTCTCTTTCGCCTGGACCTCAGCCAGTGGATGAGGTGGGGAAGAGGAAGGGGGAGGGGAGGGGATGTGGCTTTGATGCTGCTACCCTCTTCAAACTCCCAACAGATAAGATAGGCAGCAGAGAGATAAGGACACCCTGCCTTCCTATCAGAGGGATCTGGGCACACAGACAGACACAACATGGAGGGAGGGGGGGGGGGGGGGGGGGGGCTCTCTTCTGTTCCCTCTCCAAAGGCCCTCTCCAAAGGCAGGGTAAAAACTAGCTTGCATGTTTTGTCATTTGCATAAGGGTCTCTTGTAAAGCTTGTTGACATGGTGCTCATTTACATAATGCAAATGAATAAAGGAGTTTTTTTATATATATATATATTTGTCTGGTGCATCACAAATGTATTGGAATATAATAGTGTTATTTTGAGCATCATGTGTGGTATTGAACCCTATGTCTTGACACAAGTGTGTAACGGAGTCATTAGGCAAAATTGGATCACAATTTGATACAATTTGCATAAAGGTATAATAATAATAATAATAATAATAATAATAAGGATTATTTATAGTAATATTGTAACGTGTCAGAGATGTTGCTGTTTTTCATTTCATCGTCAGGGGTCGTGCGTAACCAATATAATATTATTTCCAAACGGACTCGAGTAGTTTTCCCTAAAGAAAATCCTTGAGGACCTTTAAGAAGTGGCTCAAACCTTTTAACGACTTAAAAATATGACCGTTATGGCCTGTCTAGGTTATTCGAATAGTATATATCACTATTTTTAGGCAGAGAAAGTTTTACATTTGGTGCGGAGGTTATTGCTGCTGTATACGTGCTGACAAATGGTCATAAATATGAATTAAAGTATTTTTTATTTCTCATGAGTATGAAAAGATGTACAGCTTTTGATGGGCACTTTCTACATGTAAATCAATATGTCATCAGCCCCACCTATCATCTGCGCTCACTAACTGGGCGGGTACAGTGGCTACACGCGCTTTACTACCTGCTAATGCCCGTTACTCAGAACTCAGACACACACTGCAGACACACATTCAACCTGTGGAATTGGGGAAACTTCAAGTTAAGGGGTTATGTCTTCTACGCAACTTTGGAAAATATTGTATTTAAGAGTTAAATACATACACTAAAGTAAAATGGTTTCTTTCAGAGTTATTATATTTTTACCAGAAAACCTGGCATATAACTTTTACATTTGACTGGGTCTGACTTGGATTTACCGAAGCGTTCAGAAGTTGTTGTACATGCTGCCTTTGACGCAGAAAGCCGAGCTGTGGACTTGGAGACTTTTCAGAATCAGAAATTATGAAGACCAATTTTACGAACATTTTTTGTTGGATAATATTGCATAATGCGTGAATGATTTTCGATTTCTTTCAAAGTAGCTGCTTTAGCTTTCAGTGAGAACAAGGAGCTCATTTGGAGAAAACAAAATTGAAATTTATTGAAACCGCACTTCAGGGACACGCTTTCTACAAACTGGACATACAATGACAAGCTGTTGGTTTGCCTTTGTGGGTTTGTGGTGGAGCGCTTATTGCATGTTCCTTATTGCAGGTAGCAATTATTTATTCGATGGGAACAACGAGGTGCACCCGAGTTTCATTCACCGGCGGTTGCGGACTCACGAAAAGAGAGAGATGCAGAAGGAGATCCTCTCCATCCTTGGACTTCCACACAGACCCAGACCGCATCTGTCACATGGAAAGTACAACTCCGCTCCGCTCTTCATGCTGGATCTTTACAATACGATATCAAGCGAGGAGAAAAACGAAGTGGAGGGCATGTTGGAACAGTCCCAGTCCATGTACACCACCCAAGGTCCTCCTTTGGCAACATATCAGGAGAATGCCTTCCTAAATGACGCCGACATGGTGATGAGCTTCGTCAATTTGGGTAAACTATTAAATTATTATATCGTTATAAATGTAATGTATTCACTATAGTAATTTAGCTAAATGTTGAGATAAAAAATAGGCAAATAAAGTAATAGTTTATCCGTCCTTAACATCAAGAATCTCAATCCGATCGCAAATTGGAGACGTAGCTTACGCATGTG